CCCCAAAACCCCAAAACCCCAAAACCCCACTAGCATTTTATTTTTAAGATATTGAAAATAATCATAAAATTTATAGAAGCTCAGGAATATGAAGTTAATAATACGATTTAAGTATAATTAAGGATACCGATCCTCTAATAATTAAAGCATTTTGATAAATATTTAATGGAAGATAGCTAGCTACTTTTGTCTCAAGATACTTAAAAACATCATCAAGACTCTGAGATAACTTAGTAAGATTTCATTTTCAATTGTATTAGAGGAAAAAACGACAATGACTATAAATCAATCAAAAGCTCTATGAAGAAGTCTATCCTCAATTCAAAGATAGAGTCTGACAGATACATTGCGAAGCATCAATGTATTTTCTAATATAATTAAATAGATTATAGTTGGAGTTCTGGAAGATTCAATCGTCGATCCGTTAAACGAAGAGCAAAAGAGGTAAGTAGGACTTTTAAGCATGACACTAAATTAGGTCAATATTGATAACAGAATAGCAAAATATTAAGAAACTGAGTCCTATCGCAACTTACTTTTCTTTATTAAAAGGATTCATCGCTACAGGTATTTTGTATATGCCCAAAAACTTCAGGTAAATATTTCAGAATAGTAATCTATTAGAAACGGTGGTTGGTTATGGTCGGGTATCTGTATGATTTTGAGTTTCATTCTGACATTTGTTTGCATGCAGAAACTTATGCAAGCAAGAGCAAGACACAACGTATCTTTCAGTGAACTTGGATTTAGGGCAATGGGAAAACCTGGTAGATTTGCTGTTGATCTTTTCCTGACTTTATAATAGTTTGGATTTGTATGCGGTTAGCTCTATTTCATTCTCAGCACTACTGAGACTGTAATAAAAGATGCAACTCCAAATCACTATGACTTTAGCAGAATATATATTGGTAACATTTTTTTATATTACAATTAATTTATAGGGATTATTGCTTTCTTTGTGATGACTCCATTAAGTTATGTTAGACAAGTTTAGAAATTCGCCATATTTTACATTTTTGCAGATGTTTTGATTTTGGTTACTGTCGTCACTATCATTGCCTATTCCTCTCAATCAGTGGTTGACCACGGATGGGGTGAAGGAGACGAACTCCTCAACAAAGGAGCATTTTTGAGTATGATTGGGTCATCCATCACTGCTTTTGAAGGAATCGGTATTGTGATCCCATTACTAGATATAACGGAAAAACCTGAACTTTACCCAAGAATTTTATTTGCTGTGCTTTGTACAGTGCTCTTCTTATATACTTTCTTTGCTGAATTCAACTACTTTGCCTATGGGGATAAGATCGTTGATCCATTGATTACAGCCCTCTTACCTACAGGAATAATAGTGTATCTTGTAAAAAATTTCTTTACTTTAAACATGGTAATCACCTTCCCACTACAAGTGTATCCAGCCAATATTATCATCGAAAGCTACATATTTAAAAACATGAAGCCATCTAAGAAAGAATACATTTTGAAAAATTTAAGTAGAACTGTGCTATCAGCACTTGCAGTCATAGTAACAATCTCACTAGGAGATGGAACTGATAAGTTTTTGTCGCTTGTTGGCTCACTCGCATGCTGCCCAGTTTCATTTGCTATTCCTGCTTTATTGCATTACCATTTATGCAATCCTACAAAGAATGAGAAGATAGTTGATATTTTGCTTTGTGTAATCGCAGGATTAATATTAGTATTCTGTACCGGATTCACTATTTGGACATGGAATGAGTGATCTATGTAGAGATTGGCTAAATCTTCCTTATCATCCTAATATTCATCTTAAATTCAAACTAATTTCATTAACACGCCCATTTATGTTCATCATGGGGTTTTGGGGTTTTGGGGTTTTGGGGTTTTGGGG